TCTCTCTCTACCTCTCTGTCTCTTTCTCTCTCTCTCACATTCTCTCCCTCTCTCCCTCTCTCTCTTTCTCTCCCTCACTCTCTCACATTCTCTCTCTCTCTCTTGCAGGCGGGAAACACAAGGTGAGAGGAGACATCAACGTGCTGCTGTGTGGAGACCCGGGAACCGCCAAGTCCCAGTTCCTCAAGTACGTGTCGGCGCCCGGTGCAAAAACATCCATCAGAAGAGAAACACTCGACTTTCTTTTTAAAGCGAGCAGCTTGAAGTATTGATTGGTTCTTCTCTGCAGGTACGTGGAGAAGGTGGCGAGCCGGGCCGTGTTCACCACGGGTCAGGGAGCGTCCGCCGTGGGTCTGACCGCCTACGTGCAGAGACACCCGGTCAGCAGAGAGTGGACGCTGGAGGCCGGAGCGCTCGTACTCGCCGACCGTGGAGTGTGTCTGATTGACGAGTTCGATAAGGTCAGCTGACGAGATCTCCTTTTTACTGTTTCTGATCCGTTTGATGATTTTCTCTCGTATTGAACGATTTTTTGTTCCTCGTGCAGATGAACGACGCAGACCGGACGAGCATCCACGAGGCGATGGAGCAGCAGAGCATCTCCATCTCTAAAGCCGGCATCGTCACCTCGCTGCAGGCCCGGTGTACGGTCATCGCCGCCTCCAACCCCATCGGTAAGAAACACGCCATGTGACGCTCGAGCTGTGGACAATTTTGTCTGCCGCCTGGGCTCAACCCATTTGTGTGTGTTTTTCTTTCCGTCCTGCAGGCGGCAGGTATGACCCCTCCCTCACCTTTGCTGAGAACGTCGACCTGACGGAGCCGATCGTGTCCCGTTTTGACGTCCTGTGTGTCGTCAGGGACACTGTGGACCCCGTGCAGGTACACACACACACACACACACACACACACACACACACACACACACACTGCAGTCCAGTGCTCATGTTTTTTTTAATTGCATAATTGCCGTCTCTTCGTTAACCGTCACATTTTAGTTTTGTAAACGTCTGTCAGACTGTCACTGATTTGACGCTCTCCCTCCCTCCTGGCTCCTGATTGGCTCTTTCCCACCAGGACGAGATGTTGGCTCGCTTCGTGGTCGGCTCCCACATCAAGCATCACCCTAGTAACAAGGAAGGGGGCGTGGCCTTAGAGGATGTGGTCCTGCCCAACACGTCTGACGTGCCACCGATCCCCCAGGAGCTCCTGAGGAAGTACATCATCTACGCCAAAGAGCGGGTACGGACACACCATAACCCTCGGAGCAATCGTAACATGATGACCTGTTTCTGTCAGCGTCCAGTTTTGTAATCTGTGTCGTGATGGACGCCATCTTCTCGCTGGCTGCAAAAACAAATCTGCATACAGGAACCAATGAAATCATGTGATACTGAGCGCCTAAATTAGTGTCTAAGTGTTTTAATTCACATTGCAGCACGGCGTCACAGAAGGCAAGAGGGAAGGCGTGTGAGCACACACACACACACTCACACATATATGCGCACACACACACACACACACACACACACACACACACACTCACACAGCGCTGTGCAGCCTCACCCGCTCGTTCCCCCCCGTGACGCCCACTGTTAAAACCTCTGATGGCGGATCATAGGTGGAATAACTTCATCCCGAAATTCAACAACTGCACGCCATGCGTCTCATGGCCGTCAGTGTTTCAGCTCCTTTAAATGGCGGTCTGTGAGCGGCGATTGTTTTTTGATCCAGCTGGTGTTGACTCTACATTGTTACTCCTCGTCTCTCTGCAGGTTCATCCCAAATTGAACCAGATGGATCAGGACAAAGTGGCTCGGATCTACAGTGAGCTGCGCAAAGAGTCCATGGTGAGAAATCTGAGGAACCTCCCACTGGCGCCCAAACGCTCCTCACGTGTTCAGGAAACGTTTCTGATTAACCCTCATGTATCACTATGGACAGTTTTGTCCATTTGGGCAAAAGTTTCCTGTGGCCATCATTTTGTCTGTGTTAGTGCATATGGCACACATTTCTGTAAGAAAGACTCTCTTGACAAAGTTTGGAATGCACATTTTAATTTCTTTAATAGATCAATAGAACACTGAAACATTTTCACTACCCTCTTAAGTCATTAAGGACAAAAATGTCCACTTACAAAAAACTGCTATACAAATAGAACAATAGATATTTTTTTCTACTTTTTTTTGCATAAATCTCTTAAACAACTTCAGCCGTGCTCAAAACTACAAAATATTGAATAATTATCAGGAATTTAACACTTTAAATGCCAGTTTGATTACTTGATGTCACTGTTGTTATTTATGAAAAAAAACACAAAAATTAGTTATTTTCCATATAACAAATATGTATATGTTGGTGGCTGGGGGATTTTTTTTAAAATCGGTCTTGGATATGTCAAAGATTATCAAAAATATTGACTTTAATGCATTGTTAGTTTTTGTATAGCATCAGATTTAAAATGTAGTTCCCTGTTTGGACATTAGAGGGCGAAAATGTCCATTTCCTAAAAACTGCTTTGAAAATAGAACAGATTCATATTTCTACTTTTTCTTTGCGTAAATCTCTTAAACAACTCCAGCTCTGCTCGAAAATATCAAATATTGAGTAATTATCAGGAATTTAACCCTTTAAATGCCAGTTTGATTACTTGATTCTGGCATTTAAAGGGTTAAATCCTGGATAATTATTCAATATTTGGCAGTTTTGGGCTGAAGTTGTTCAAGAGATTTACGCAAAAAAAAGTAGAAAAAACTATCTATTCTATTTGTATAGCAGTTTTTTGGAAGTGGACATTTTTGTCCTTAATGACTTACGAGGTTAGTAAATTAAAGTGATGCCTGAGGGTTAAAGAGAAACATCACGCGTCTGTTTGGACTAAAGTGATGCTTCTGTCTCCTGCAGGCGACCGGCAGCATCCCCATCACGGTGCGTCACATCGAGTCCATGATCCGGATGGCGGAGGCTCACGCTAAGATCCACCTGAGGGACTACGTGGTGGAGGACGACGTGAACATGGCGATCCGGGTGATGCTGGAGAGCTTCATCGACACGCAGAAGTTCAGCGTGATGAGGAGCATGAGGAAGGTGAGACGGCTTCTCTTTTTAAACATTCAGTCGGGTTCTTCAATCATCTCGTGGCTCTAACGTCGGTGTTTGTCGCGTGCAGACGTTCGCCCGTTACCTGGCCTTCCGCAGAGACAACAACGAGCTGCTGCTGTTCATCCTGAAGCAGCTGGTCAACGAGCAGGTCGCCTACCAGAGGAACAGATATGGCGTCCAGAACGACAGCATCGAGATCCCCGAGAAGGACCTGCAGGACAAGGTGAGCGCTAACGAGCTGATGTTTATCATCGGCTTTATTATTGTTGATCGTTGAGAAGTTTCTAATCCTCCTCCTCTCCTCTTCCTCTTCCTCCAGGCGAGACAGATCAACATCCACAACCTGACGGCGTTCTACGACAGCGACCTCTTCAGTTCCAACAAGTTCAGCCACGACGGGAAGAAGAAACTGATCCTGCAGCAGTTCTGAGAGCTCCGCCTCCTCCTCCTCTCTTCTTCCTCCTCCTCTCTTCTTCCTCCTCCTCTTCTTCCTTGCTCTGTAAAGTAGCGCTTCCTGAAGTCTGTCGGCGCCCGGCGTGGTTTGTTCAAAGCAGCAGCGGTTTAGAGGAAGATCGTCCTCTGATGACCATCGTCTGTGGAGACGTTCAAGGGATTAAAACATGCTCGTTAACGTCAGCGTTGATGAAATGAAGAGGGAACTTTTGATAGAAACGGAGCTGATGAAGACTGAGACTCTGATGTGACAGAAGGAGAAACTCGATTGTAAATAGATGTACATGTTTGTGTCGATGCTGTTGAAGAAACACATCGTCTTGTTTCTGTTTCCTACTGTTCAGATAAATTCAGATTCTAGTTTCCTGCTTCGAACTCGAACTGAAGCTTTGTGTAAAATAAAAATAAATGTTGTCTCTAATGTGGGAGATAAACCTGATGGTTGTTTTGATATTAAAAACGTGGATTTGTTACGACGTGTTGTGTCCTTTTGTCTCCTGTCAGTTTGGTTTACAGCAGTCGTTCCTGACCTTTGACCCCACTTTGACTTCACATGGCCCCACACGACCTAAACACAGACCGCATCATGTCAGACTTTTCTCTTGTGCTGCATTTTAAACTTTCATCTTAGCGCACATTGAGTCTTTTCTGTTTATTATTGAGGACAGGAAAAGAGACGGGGAGGATGTTTTGCACGATGGACAGAGACGGCAGGGTTTCCCTTTTTGGCGTTTGTAAATGTTAATGGACTGAAGGGTAGTGGTCAGTGCACCCACTCCATGTATAGATGCTGTAGTCCTCCAAACAAGCGGCCTGGGCTCGAATCAGACCTGTGGCTCCTTACCTGCATGTTCTCTCTATCCATGATATCTGACTATCCACAGTCCCACCTCTAAAACAAAAGCATAAAAGCCCCAAGTAATGAAAAATGTGTTAAAAGAAGTTGCTGTGTAAAAACACTAATTAACATTATTTATTATTTACATAAACTGTGTGCCATTTATTGCACCAGAAACGTCCGAATGCTTATATTTAATCTGTATTTCATCAGCTATTGCAACTATGGATTCACACAGGTTAACAATGATAACTGTAGCATGTAGCTGACAGCACTTTTGTGTCCAAACAACAATTAAACGGAATGATTGAATTTTTCATTTCACCCCGCCACAAAAACTGTAAAAGTGTGCACTTATAAGTGGAAAATGAATGAGAGCTAGTTTGCTCAAAAAAAGTTTTAAAAACAAGTTCGGGATATGTTTCCAAAACAAAAATTTAACCAAATAATTTAAAAAATATTATTTTGCCAGAGTTTTAAAAAATTGCAGGGTTTTTTTTTAACGTTTCGACACAAAGCGACTTTTTCCGAGGAGCCCCTGAACGCAGCAGCAGAGTCACGCCGCTGCAGTTACATCTAGCGGCCAGCAGAGGGAACTACAGGCAGCTGTCAGGCGGTTCTTTCCAGCAGCGTCGGTGTTGCACAGTCTATGGTGTTGCAGCAGAGCTTCAGGATCCGCTGTGACCGCAGTCTGAGAGGCTGAACCCCGCACAGCGTCAGACCCTACACCCCGCAAACCACCGCACAGCCCGCCATGAGCCCCGCGTGCTCCTGAAACACGCGCAGATATCTAAGAGATCCTCTGTCCATTCAGAGGAGAGCTGGAGGAGGATGAGGAGGATGCTGAGCACTGCAGCAGACATGCCGGGCCCGCTCCTCATCACACTGATCGGTGAGTCTCTTCTTTTCACATTTATTTAATTTATAAAGACGTGAACACAAACAGAATTTAAAGACACACACACACACACACACACACACACATTTAGGACAGACACAGAGCTGCAGAGGAGACAGTGTTGACATGTTTAAATTCTGTACATGTGTGTGGATGTTTGTGTGTGTTAATGAGATTTATAATAATGTTTTAAAATGAATCAAGGTGTCACCAGCTCTCTGTTTTTAAACGAAGGGTTCAGGTTCAATTCTGCAAACTGTGTGTGTGTGTGTGGCTGTGTGTGGGAGGCGCACAGTGCACTTAAATCAGCAGACACACACACTGCAGTGTCTGACACACACACACGCACACACACACACACACACACACACACATACACACTGAGACATCACATGGACAATTAAGGCCATCAACACATCAGTTAATATGATGGATGGATCCTGTGAAAGGCAGATTTTGCTTAGTCATCAGAAAATAATGATGCTTTTTTTTTTTTTAAGTATTGATGAGGCTTTGTGATGAGCAGGATGATGATTTATGTATCTATGAACTTGCACTGTTATCGACAGGACTGTAAAATATAAGATAAATGAACCTGTCTTTAGATACATAATGAACAGTTTCACAAAATAATCTAGAAAATATACAAAGATATGAAACAACAAATCAGAACATCACATTTTTTTGGAAGCTGCAAGACGGGATTTTCATGGAAAAACTCCAAAAAGTTAGTGAGGTGTCGGTCGAGAAACCTTGTGCGCTGCCGTCTGACATTAAAGGTGCAGCTTGTAAACACAACCTTCAAACTGGGCCCCTCCTCCTGGGCTCAGAAGTGCACACTCACTGCAGGACGTAGTGTGTACGTTTACTAGCTACTCTAACGAAAAAGCAGATCAATTAGCACACTAGCACAAGCTAACCATTGGGGTTCGGCAGCTGCCTGTACAACAGAAAACAGACGCATTTCTCTTCATCCCACGCCGCTCCTTTAGTTGGCTTTTACCCAAAAGTCAACACAAGGTTCATCCTCGTTTTGGAGCGAGCTTTTTTCTGCTCTGTGTTTCACCGAGAAGCTTCAGTGTTTATCCAGCTCTGCATCGGTCTGTAAACCTTTCTGTGTTCTAACCTCTCTCCATTTTTCTAAATCATCTCCAATATTGAACCTAGTTTGAGCACGTTTCTGCTCGTGGAGCTTATTAGAAACATGCAGAGGCTTTTTAGGTCGGGTACAATCACTTCTATCTGAACCAGTTCTCTTGCCCGCTTCCATCACTGCAACACCTGTTGGTTTGACCTGATAACTGCTCTCACATCTGGCAAACCGAGGGGCATCCAAAACGGCCGTGTGATATCATGACGCCTGTTTGAGATGGAGGCTGGTTTAGGACCGAGATCAGGATGCTCAGCTGTCAGTCTGGGTGAGGGGGATTTGGGGGGAGGGTCCCAGCCTCCGATAAGCTGATCTGAGGGGTGTGAAGGCACGAACAGAGGGGGGTTTAGGGGGAGGAACAGGTTAAATAAAAATGCATTTTGGGTTTCAGGACATTTTTTAAAGGGCTCGGCCGATATGTGGATACCGATATCGTCGTAGGAAGAGAAAAAATCAGATACCGATAAATTTGCCGATATCTTCCTTAGATCTGTCTCCGATCTGTAGAGATAGATACATAGATATTCACATATTTATTATGTTGATCCCTCAGTTATCAAACACTCGTGGAAAAGTTAATGAAGACAAGATGGTCACTCAGCTGGAAAGTAACTGAGCATGTACATGAATCACACTCGACACTCTGCAGAGTGATGATGTTTGTTGTAGTCTATATAGCGCCCTCTACTGGTGAAAGAGAACTGCTAGTGTAATACAATGAAACTCAAATTAAATGGTATTTGACTGGTGAATAAATCGAGTAATATAGGTGCATATCTGAGATAAAGTTAACCGATACCGATAGTCACTAGATATGCTTATATCGGCTGATATTATCGACTGGCTGATTAATTGGTCAGGGTTTTGGTTTTATTCTTTTATTCTTCTTTAATATCAAAGTTGACCCCATTTTAAAATCACATATAGTGTTAAAATGCAGGATATCCAAACTAAACGTGGGTAAAGTGTCAGATCATGAGGTAAACGTATGTTGGGAGTAATCCCAGGATGAGTCTGCAGAGGGCGCTAAACGCCTTGTTCTGTAAATCACGCCATAGTTCCCCCGATGTGAAACCAAGAATTTCACCAGATGGCTTCAAGCCTCTACGTAAGCTGCTGAAACCTCTTACATAGACTCTCTTCTCCCATCTATGGAGAGCAGCCCTCCCCTGGCAGCCCTACAGCGTTCTGCCCGTGGGGAGGGGGGCCTTAAAGAGACAGCAGCTGAAACTCGCTGTTTCAGGCAGAGACTGAAATTAGGGTTTTTATCATAAACTGTAAATATGAATGTTTGAAGCCTAACTGACGGCCCCCAGTCTGTTCCTGCAGGGGGCACTGGAGTCCCATCAATGGCGGTCTCCGTGCTGGAAATTCTGATTAGCAACTGATTGTTTGTTTTTAAGGATTTTTAAATTCTGGGTTGTAGTTTAATTATCATTTTGTTGAAATCACATTTTGCGTTGACTAATGTTTGGTGCCGGATGTGCCATCAAAAAACATTACATTTCTTTCAGGAATAAAGAGAGATTTTGATTAAAGAAATATAATTTTGCGCTCGAGTTTTATTAACCCCTAAGTCCCGGTGAGGCTGCAGGGAGTTCACGTTAGCTTGAAAGGTTTCGTGTTTCCTGGGTAAATCTCTGTCTGTGTTTGCTGCAGGATGAGAAAGATAATTAATGTTCTTAACGACAGATTTTAGTAAATAAAAAAAGTCTTTAAACACAAAGTATTCATGTAATTTAACTTTTTAGTGAGACTGACGAGGGCGTTAGAAGTTCACATTAGCTCTTTCTTTATTAGCATCCTCATTAGCGCCAGCGTACGCATTAGCTTCCTGGGGTACTTCTTGTTGGAACCCCTCCACATAGTCCGTGGTCGCTGCTGGCACGCTCCAGAGACAGACCGCGGCGCTCTCTGTGGAAACACGAGCAGTGACTAGAGTGACAGTGAACGACGCCGTAGTGTGGGGCGCACTACGCCACTACTATGAGGAAATTAGCCGTTATAGATTTAGACATTCTGCAAAAGAACACAAACTCATCCTCACAAGTCAAAATTCACGTCAGACTTGATTTTCCTTCATACAAACAAATAATTTGAATATTCTGGATTTCTCAAAAATCAAATGCAGAGATTTATTGACATTAAAGATATTTAATCGTCACCCTGCACAGAGTTAAGTGAGCGTTTTGTCGATTGGAGCTAACTCCATAACGTTTCTACTGTGTCGTCTCAGAGGAATCTTTTAGTGTGAAGCCGTTTAGAAAAAACGAGATTAACGTGATCCAGTTTATCCAAAACCACACTCTCTCTCTCTGCTGTGTAGCTACAATCTCTGTTTTTCAGCCAGGTAAGGTTTCTGTAACCTGAGGCAGTCTGAAGAACTTTAAGGCCTCGCCTTTTCCCTCGCGGCATCCGTCCGTCCTCGTCCAGCTCAGCAGGGAGTCTGTCTGTGTGAAGCTGATAACACAAACTCAGCCATTCAGTCCCTCCGGATGCTCCGGCTCGGGGCGAGTTTATGAAGTAATTACGCTGCAAAGCTGCTTTTGCAGACACAAATGTTCAAGGTCGATGTGCAGAGCTGGAACGAGGGTGCACGCCATAACGGAGAAGGATTCATCGTGAAGTTTAGAAGCTCAGAATATCAGAGTTGAGGTTGATCATTTAAAACAATGCAAACTCTGTGTTTTGATGGTATAAAAAAGGACATAAACCTTTCAAATAACCGCATGACATGCGGACATGTTTTAGACATGTTACAGACATGTTTTAGACATGTTACAGACATGTTACAAACATGTTTTAGGCATGTTACAGACGTGTTTTAGACATGTTACAGACATGTTACAAACATGTTTTAGGCATGTTACAGACGTGTTTTAGGCATGTTACAGACATGTTTTAGACATGTTACAGACATGTTTTAGGCATGTTACAGACATGTTACAAACATGTTTAAGAAGTGTTTGACTCATATCGTGGTCATGCTGCAGACATGTTTAAGACGTTCTGCAGACAGACTGCAGTCCTGTTTTAGTCATGTTTGAGATTTTTTGTAGACATGATACAGACAAGCTGCAAACTTGTTTTAGACGTTCTGCAGACATGTAGATGCGTTGCAGACATGTTACAGAAATGTTACAGACATGTTGCAGACATGTTAAACATGTTGCAGACATGTTGCAGACATGTTACAGACATGTTGCAGACATGTTAAACATGTTAAACATGTTGCAGACATGTTACAGAAATGTTGCAGACATGTTACAGAAATGTTACAGACATGTTAAACATGTTACAGACATGTTACAGACATGTTAAATATGTTGCAGAGATGTTGCAGACGTGTTAAACATGTTACAGACATGTTGCAGACATGTTAAACATGTTGCAGACATGTTACATACATGTTAGACATGTTACAGACATGTTACATACATGTTAGACATGTTGCAGACATGTTACAAACATGTTAAACATGTTGCAGACATGTTAGACATGTAACAGACATGTTACAAACATGTTAAACATGTTGCAGACATGTTACAGACATGTTACAGACATGTTGCAGACATGTTAAACATGTTAGACATGTTACAGACATGTTAGACATGTTACAGACATATTTTAGACGTTCTGCAGACATGTAGATATGTTGCAGACATGTTGCAGACATGTTAGACATGTTGTAGACATGTTACAGAGATGTTGCAGACATGTTACATACATGTTGAAGACATGTTGCAGACATGTTGCAGACATATTACAGACATGTTACAAACATGTTCAAGACATGTTGCAGACATGTTGCAGACATGTTGTAAATGTGTTGCAGACATGTTGAAGACATGTTTGTAGACGTTCTGCAGACGTGTTTGGCTGTGATGTGATAATCTGCTCAGTCAGGCTCAGAGGTCAGACGACCATCTGTGAACCCAGACAGTGAACACGGCAGGAGGCATGACTGTGGGACGGAGAGGGGGCTGTGACTCCATGACGAGGCGCAGAGATTAGAGACGTATGGACGGACAGAAACAGAGAGAGGAGGGCGGAGTTTATACATGTCAGGACTCAGGATGTCAGTGAAATGTTTAAATTATAACTGAAGGAATAAATCTTACTGAGTGAGATAAAGAGAGAGAGGGAGAGCTTTTAGCTCTGACTGTCAAACAGCAGCTGATGAAAGCTTTTAATTAAAAACACTTAATGCAGCAAACAGACAGCAGAGAGCTATGTCAGGGCGGACTTTAAAGTATGATGAGCAAAGAAAAAAACACATCAGGTCTGTGAATGAAGAAAAGGAAGTGCTGACAACAATGCAGCAGCCAGTATGTTCTCCTTCTAACTTTAGATTCTGGTCCTGAATGCTCTGGATTTGTTTGGACCAGAGAAGGTAGGCACTTTTAAGGCACCCCCCCACACGGCCGTTTTGGACTCCCCTCAGTTTGTCAGATATGTGACCAGTTGTCAGGTCAAACCAACAGGTGTTGCATTGATGGAAGCGGGCAAGAAAAGTGGTTCAGATAGAAGTGATTGTACCCGACCTAAAAAGCCTCTGCATGTTTCTAATAAGCTCCACGAGCAGAAACGTGTTCAAACTAGGATCAATATTGGAGATGCTTTTGAAAAATGGAGAGAGGTTAGAACGCAGAAAGGTTTACAGACCGATGCAGAGCTGGCTAAACACTGAAGCTTCAGTGTCCACCACATGGCAACCTGTGTGAGCATCGACTCTAGAGAGTCCTTTAAGATTTATTTCCCAAAGTTCGAGTCTTGGTCGTTCTTCTTTGAGATGTTTTTATTTGTAAGCTAACCATTTAGCAGAAGTCCCTTTTGTGTTCTGTCAAAATAAAAGCACATTCTAAACAAAAGCTGGAAATAAAGAGAGTGAAGCTTAAGGAAATAAGAAAGGCAAAATAAAAGCACCACAAAGAACCTGGTTGAGATTTTTCTTGGGCTTGATTTTCTTTACTTGGATGAATCCTACGACGTCCCCTGACCATCTCATCTCCTCAGAGAATCCCGTAAGACTTGATGATGTGTGTCTCTCTCCTTTCAGCCCTCCTATTCACCTGTGACGCCTTCAGACTGGGTTCCACTCAGCGGGTCATCCCCCTCGGTCCTCCGCTGGCTCGTCTGTTCCAGGACGAAGGTCAGTCCCAGCTGGACTTCATCCAGGAATTAGTCCGCACCAAACGCCACTCCGTCCCTGAGCTAGTGAGGGTCCAGCCTCACCTGGTCCATGACATGGGCTGGCCGGAGATCCACGAGACCTCCCGCTCCCAGGGCAAGGTGGACACAGCTAACTCCTCCCAGTTAAACCCTCCATCTTCAACCAACCAGGGTCAGAGCAGGAGTGGCGGGGACGAAAACATGGACGTGGAGGACGAGATGGAGGTGAGGGCGAGTCTTTATGAATCTGTGCAGGGCTAAACGTGCGTCATACTGAGATATAAACACCAACTGCACTCTGGGTAAAAGTCATGAAGGCTGGATGATTATAAATTGTAATTTCTGAAAATGATGATGTCATCAGACTTATTCTTCTTCTTGCAGCGTATGGTTCACCTGGTGGCTCCTCAGGACGCTGAAAGCTTCAGGGGACCCTCGGACTCCTCCGACCCAGAGAGGGAGCCGGTCGGTGGGCCGGGAGCTGGAGACGCCTCCCTGGAAGCTTCTGGCTTTTACGGGACAGACGCAGAGGACAGAGAGAGAGGGGAGGAGGGGGGAGAGGACAGAGAGAGGAGAGGGGGAGACGTCAGAGAAGAGGATGAAGAGGAAGAAGAGAGGGGAGGAGAAAGAGACGATCATGACAACCGTGAAGTGGACGCTTTAGAGGGAAACCACACAACGCCAGATCTGGACTCCCTGATTGGTCAGTAGAAATTATCTTAACTAGAGGTAGAGGTTCTTCACATCACACAGTGCACACACATTATCTGAAGAATCTGTCAGAAACTTTTGTCAGTCAGTCCGGAGTCTTCTGCAGCAGATACACTAGGCTTCTGTTTCTGCAGGATGTCGGTGCACGGAGCATCAATTCACCACAGAGCAGATCGAGCAGGACAGGAAGTCAGACACCGAAACAACATTAAAACATTCTGTTCTTTTTCAGAATAAAACAAACGGTTCAGAAAAACAACCATTTGTGTTTGATAACACATACATTGTATTATCTCGAATGTGATTCTGTAATTACCGCAGGATCTCCTTTGTCACTGCACTCCAGCTGTTTTGAATTTGGCCTGCAGTACCGACTTTAAACACTAGGTGTCAGAGTTACATATCTCTCCTTTAATAAATGAAGCTGATGATAAAGTGCAGAAAGCAGCTTTAATGTATTTTCTGAATGCAAAATGATCTTTTCTTCACTTCTATAGTCATGCTGTATTTGGAGCTTTTTCTGTCCTAATGAAACCTGAAACATTTTAAAAGACAAACATGTTTTTATTATTCCGATGGCAACCAGGAACTGTGTGAGTCTTTCTACACGCTCATGTCTAAACCTTATGGAAACTGTGGAAACATTGCGGTGTAAGAGGTTTTACGTAACACTCAGGTGTTTCTGACAAGTGTCTTTGTGCCTCACAGGTTACAGCCCACCTTTTCACCTCTTCACTTCCAAACAGCCCGATTTCTCCGTCCACACTGAGGAGCAGGATCCTGGTCTTCAGGAGCACCTGGCTCCTTCAGTCCTGGAGGTGAGGACCGAAAAAGATGCTTTTGTATTGACTGTAAATGTAATGTTATCTATTTTATCGGGTTATTATTATAGTCCAAAAAGAAATGTTCATGATCCCGTGTACTGTCCCTGCTGAGGTGTTGTAACTTCAACTAGACAGCCAGCCAAACTCCATATAAAACGACACGGGATTCAGGATGTAGAGTTCTAGCTCCTTAATTTATTCCAGACTCAATGTGCATGAGGTTAAGAATCAGGAGTGAAACTGAAAATATAGATTGGTACAACACAATTAACAAGATGTCCTTTATACAATCATCAAAATAATAAACAAGCTAACTACTTTTATGCTTGTAGGTGTGTCTTAATTGTTTAAATGACATGCATTAATGTATGCAAATTTAATAATATAGCAAAGATACTTTCCAATATCTAAAGGTGAAATCCTAATTAACATGTGAACAACTTACAAGCAATGCCTCTGCTGGAGAAACAACTGGATCGCACTGGATTTACTTTTGAGCTCCTGCCACAAATTCTAGCCCTCTACTAGATCATGTGCACAAATAAAACTTCCTACTTCCTGTTCCTAAAGTGATACAAAACCACCACTATACAGTAGGGGGAGCTAAATCACAGAAAAAACTGAATATTTATAAAACATAGAAATAGCCTGGAAGGCAATACATCCTGTGTTATGAAAGAAACGTCTCTCTGAAAGTCCTGATGATACTTAGCCCCTTTTCCACTGCAGGAACTTACCCCAAAACTAGGGGGAACTTTTGAGGAACTACGTTCAACTAAAGGTACAAGGGTCTAAGTTTAGTCCTGGGGTAAAAGATCAAGCCCTAAAAATGACCCTGCTCAGGAGGTACTCTCCAATGGTCCAGGGAGTTTGGGGGCAGGGCCTGCAGAGCTGAAGGTCTCTGATTGGTCAGGCACTCGTATTGTTAGGTAACGTCTCCTGCGTCAGGAGACCCCCCTCCCCCTCCTGTCTGACAGGGATAGTCTCCCACTGTGAGGTGCATGTGTGAACAACAAGATCAGGAGGATTTCAGGAGCAGTCCTCCTGAGATTATCTAGATATTTTCAGGAGTGCAGATGTAAAAACGTCTCTAAAGACTTACTCTAACCTGGTGTCAACTTACAGGTGGGTCCTCTAGAGAGAGAGTTGTGGGAGGCAGAGAAGGAGGACGATGGTCATGCCAGTGGTTATGGCGTCCTTCACTCTTCCATCACTACGCCCGGTGCCACACCTTCTCCTACATCTGCTGCTGATGGAGACTCTGCAGGAACCGTGACCCCAGAGACGGACACAGGAACAGACTTCGGCCTGCTGGGAAGTTACACCAAAGGTAAAATTAAAAAAAGATGTCGCCAGCAGAATTATTGTTTTCCATGCGGGGCGCTCTTTTCTGCTGCTCTGCGATGTCTTTTTCTAGCGTGTTTTTAGCGTGCATAAATGTTGAAAAAATTACAACTCAAGATCAATCAATCAATCAATCAATCAATCAATTTTTATTTGTATAGCGTCAACTCATAGCAAGTGTTATCTGAGACATTTTACAAAAAGCAGGTAAAATACCTTACTCTTTTCTGTTAACATTACAAAAGAGCAGGTAAAAATACCTTACTCATTGTTATGTTACAAAAAGCAGGTAAAAGACCTTACTTATTGCTATATTACAAAGATCCGGCCTATCCATCATGAGCACTTTAGCAAAGCAGCAAAAGTTACAGTGGTAAGAAAAAACTGCCTTATTAAAAGGCAGAAATCTTCAGCCGGATCCCCAGCTCATGACGAAACAGCCTTCACAGGCCTAGACTGCGCTGGGCTTAGAAAGGGATAGGGGGAGAGATGGGATAAGATGCAGGAAGAGGGATAGGGAGCAAGGGGGTGGGGAGGCAAGCCGTCCATCAACAATCCTGTGGGGTGGGGGGGTTGTTCTGGCAGGCCGTCAACCAACGATCTTGAGGAGCCTAAGAGAGCTCAAGAGCTCCTAGGAAAGTAGGTGGTTAGTGACTGAGATTTACAGATAGATACATGCAGTAATATGATGTACTGTATATGCAGAGAGAGAGAGAGAGAGAGGAGCTCAAGGTGCTAGTTCCCCCGGTAGTCTAAGCCAATAGCAGCATAACTAAGAGCTGGTCTACAGCAGCACCAGCCCTAACTATAAGATTTATCAAAAAGGAAAGTTTTAAGTCTATTCTTAAAAATACTAGTGCAAGGGTTTACCTCCTCATCACTATCAGGAACAGCTGTGATGTAGAATCAATCCGTGGATCTTTATGGATTATAGGCACTATCTGTCCAATCAGATTCGACTATGAAAATCGTCGACAATGACACCCCTAGAATGAACACTACAGCCTGCACAACGCACATGCCTAAAGACGAAGTCAGGAAATCAAATCCTAAGCAAAGAGTTTGGTTATTTGTTTTTCACGTCAAAGACAGAGAGCGTTGGCTGCTGTTATTTATTTCTGTTTTTTATTCCCTGCAGATGAGGAGACAGAGAAGGAGGAGGAGGAGGAGGAGGAGGGGGAGGAGGAAACAGGACTGGCAAACAAAGGCGTATTTACCCTGAATCCCACAGTGCCAGAGGTTGGCCTGGCGCCCAGCAGAGAGCCTCTGCAGCCCAGCGTGGAGGAGGAGGAGGAGCACAAGATAAGGAGTGAGATGACTCTTTAAAGCTGATTTGTTGTTATATAGAAAAAACAGATGTGAGACACAAATGTAGTTTTAAAAAAAAATTGTGGAAAACTGAAATCGTCCAATCGCAGCTTAGCAATGATTACTAAGACGACCCGTTGGGGGGATTTTCATGCCTTTATTTAAAGAAGGGACAGTGGATAGCATCGGAAACAGGGGAGAAAGAGACATGCAGGAAAGGATCCACAGGTCAGATTTGAACCCTGGCTGCCCACTTGGAGGACCTCAGCCTCCGTACATTGTACGCACTCACCAACCACTAGGCCACCGGCTCTCAGACAAATAGGTTTTGATTACTTTTGATAACTGATCTGATGATGGCTGAAAAGGAGCGTTTCTTACGTGATAAGGTATTAACAGTGAGTTCTGGACTCTCTCTTGTGAGGGCGAGGACAGAGGGGTGTGTCGAAGCCGGAGGTCATTAGCCGCAGAGCTAGCATTAACTCCAGGCACTCCGGGGCTGCAGACACGACCCGCTCGGCTACTTCATCCCTGGGGTCAAAATCCAGACTGGTTTCAGCCGCTGCTTTTGCTTTTCAACGTGCAGAGTTTCTGAATAAGCGTTGCGTTTTTCAAGAGTGCATTGTTTCAGCTTGGCTCAGCCTTTGCCCCGACAGGCCACCGTAGTTTCTCTCCATTAAAGAGCTCAGAAAGGTATAAATGTTAGCTTGTACAAAGGGGGAGGGGCTTAGTGAGATCATTTTATAATGAGTTGATTCTTTTCGATACTCTTCAGCGATTGGACCCAAAGACAAAGGGGATGAGTTGGAGGAGGATAGGTGGAGGACGTTTGAAGAAACAGGAATTCGACCGATCCTCCCGCTCACCACCGAGCCCTCCAACACCGCAGACTCCACTCGGCCGTCCTGGGATTGGTCAGAAAAGACCACGCCGCTCCCCGTCACAGAGGTCTTCTTACCCATAAGAGAAACACATTGAGTATTTGATGACTCCCTGTGTATTAAATATTCAGATTCTGTGGATGTTTCAGGTGGTGTGTTTGGACTGGAGCGAGCTGACTGAACGAGGATACGTCTTCCTCAACATGACTCAAAACCTCAACTGTGTGAGTACAAGACGCCAACGATTATTCCTCGAGATAATATCAGGAGGACTGCTCCTTAACCAGGAGTGTTGTAGTACCCTACAAATCGGTTTTGGTTTCCAAGAATGGTCTGCAGACCATGTCTTGAAGGTCTCGGTCTCGTCTGTGAATCGAAAGTATTTTTACTCTGTCTTGTCTCGGTCTCTGACTGGACTGACTCAGAATTTTAATTCAAGACCACCACTGATTTGCTATTTTTACACTTCATTAGAGATATTTATGGTCTTGGTCTTGACTCGTCCTCAACCTCTAAATGCCTTGGTCATGGTCTGGGTTAGTTTGGTCTTGACTACAATAACTACTAACAAGGTAAACAAGGTCGGCTCGCCTCTGGCTCCTGTGTGTGTGTGTGTGTTGGTTTGTGTGACAGGAGGAGTTTCGTGTGGATCACGGCGTCCGCTTGTTGAGGATCTTAGAGCGAGTGTTTGCACGAAGAATGAACAGCCCCGAGGGATCATGGGTACTCTACCTGAGCAAGCCGACACACCAACAACACCAGCTGCTGATGAACGTGGCGTCCGAGCAAGGTAACCACACGTACAGTTTCTCCATTCATGTAGCTGCAGTTGAATCATCTATTATCTAGAAGAAATAAAAGGATTTGCAGTAAACAAGTATTCATGAAGTGAAAGCCTGGGAGACCCCCGTCCCCTCCCTGCAGTGATTCGAAGTCCCCTCTTGGCAACTTCTTTAAAAAAAGTTATATTCTGGTTAAAGACATCATAAGTAAATGTGGGATTACTTTTTTGTATTTTTAAAATTACCAGAAAGAGAAGTCCCCACTTGGATAGTGTCGACTGATGGCCCCCTTTAGTAAGGTACACGTGTATGTGTAAGAAGACTGACTTTATTGATCCCAGCAAGGGGAAATTCTACACTCTGTAAGTCATGCAACACACACATAGGCTGAAATATAACGTGGTGGAGGGTCCAAGTCCCTGTGAGCTGCTGTCCCTCCTCTAATGAATCTGTTCAAACGGTTAAAGTGTTCAGTAACGGACATGTGATGTTCATCAGGTTGTTAACCTACAATCATTAACCCTGTGTTCTCCAGAGCTCGTTGGATCTCTGATTCTAACTCCTCTCCGACCTGACAGACGAGTCAGAGACGACACTGATCCACTGGATCTGAAACGTTCAGGTCGCAGGTTTAGACTGGACTTAAAGAAACACCTGAAATAATCAGAATAACTGACAAAGACAAACTCCTCCCCTCAGGAGAGAGACTCCTCCATGATGACTTTTACAAGATCAATAAAACACAACACGAGTCATAAAGAAGGATTCAGATCAAGAAACTTTATTGATGATTACAGGAACAGGATTCATACTAACCAGATATTTTAACTCTTTGTTGTTGTAAAGAACGTAAAGCTTTCAGACTTCAGAGGACGTTTCATCCTCTGAACATGAAGATGGTAAAGAAATATGAACAGTCTTCAGGCCTTTACAGAATGAAGCTCCAGAAAGACTCAAACTCAGAACAGGTGATCGAGCTACCTGTGGACTGGGAGCTACAAGATTAAAGGCAGGGTTGGTCATTGTAGCATGATTTTGAAAGTTAAGAGGGGCAGCAGCACAACAATAAATAACAGTATCATCCGCATATAAAGTAAAATTTGCATCTGTAACATTTTGACCGATACTGTTAATGTAAAGTGTGAATAACAGCGACCCCAGGACTGAGCCTTGTGGCACACCATTTTAAACTTCCAAAAAAAGTTGTCAGGACATATCAGCCCTAGTGAGATGACAATTGTAGAGTAATTCCATCTCACTGTGTGCAGCAAGAAATAATTTTTATCATTACTTTTATTTTTTGTATTATTCCCGTGCAGGATAATCACTTTAGTCACACAGGAAAATTTAACAACATTATCATCACCATGGAAACTCAGTCATACAATCCTAAGAATCAGAGACGAAGATTCAGAAGAATATTCTCATCATCAAGATGCTTTTTTAAAATCTTCAGCCACAGAGATTCACTGGTTAAGTCCTCAGGCTTAAGATTTTGACAAGGCCTCCACTGGTGTTAAGATTGTATGTGTGTGTGTCTTTCAGGAGTCATCGCCACCAAAGATGTGCTGGACATGCTGGGACAGATAAGGAAGAGTCTGAACAAGGTGAGCTGTTCTTTTAGTCTGTGTGTTGTCGAATCATTCGCCTCCTCAGTGTCTCCCTGTAGTCAACGTTTCCAGTTCTCAATGTTTTCACTAACAGCATGCAGGAGTTTGTTTGCAATATAAACTCCTCCTCTTCTGTCCTTTTTAAAGGTTGTTTAGTTCATCTAGGGTACTTACTGATATTATTGATCATTCAAAGATTGGACATTTTAAATCTTGTGTGTTTCTGGTTCAGGTGGGGATCCAGAACTACAGCGCTGCAGGTAGCTGTCAGTCTACGCCCAGACAGACACGCAGCGACTATGGGAAGCTGTTTGTGGTTCTGGTGATCATCGGCTCCGTGTGCATGGTCATCATCACGTCAGGATTCATTTACATATGCTGGCAGAGACGACTACCGGCGACTAAGACGAATGTGGGTACACACATAGACATATTTACTTTGACACGTGATGGAGACGCACCTGAAACACTTTTTTTTATTTCACAGTTCCGTGCTGAGGAACTTCACTTCGTGGAGAACGGCTGCCACGACAACCCCACGCTGGACGTGGCCAATGACAGCCAGCCAGAGATGCAGGAGAAAAAGCTGAGCGCCAACGGGCTCGCAGGGGGGGGAGAAGGAGGCGGGGAGGACAGCAAACGCTGGCAGGTGATTGTACAACTGAGGAGAATAAAAAATATATTCACGTGAATGATGACTTGCACAGAAAGTTTTCAACACTCGCACACAGCTCAAAGACACTGCTTCAATAACAAACATATAGCGGCTCTGAGTGGGAGAGCGGCTATTTACTCTGCTCAGCTGATCGGCATACAGTGAGGCAAGAACATTTTCACAGATGATAAACTGTTCATGAGCACAAACACAATATTTTAAGTATAAGCCCAAACATAAAACATCAGTGGATAGCAGGTTAAATATCGATTAGGAAAGGAGACTCATAGGGGTTAAAAATTAATGTTTTCTGTGAATTATTCTGTATGATGTGATTTGACGATTCTTTTTATGTCTGTGTAATTTAATGATTTGAAACGTTGACTTGGCCTCACACGGGGCACCAATATGTGGTGTAATTAATTTATTAAGACGTTAATAATCTTCATCTCAGGCAGGCCGTCCACCAACAATCCCGTAATGGATGGATGGACTCTGAACCGAACTTGCTTCGTAGTATATTAACCTTAAAGTTTGATTAGGTTTGGGAATGAGTCGGCAGAAATGGCTGCTGTCTTGTGTTGACATTTCTTCTGCTGCCACTAGGGGGTCAGGTCTTTGCCACACAGAGGGAAGTTTAAGGTGCAGCAAACCTCTCCATGTAAGGACCCAGGTTCACAGGAGAACAACCCAGTAACAGCGTGATGTCTTTCATTATTTCTCTTGTTTTTAGGTGTTTGTAAATCAAGCAGCGACCGACGATGATGAGGAGGAGCAGGACACACATCTCTGATTGTCCAAGAGGAAGAAGAGGAGATGGGCTGTGAAGGACGATACAGAAGAGGAGGAGGAGGAGGAGGAAATGAAATGTCTGTAAGAGAGAAGACAGAAAAGGAAAAGGAGGAAAGGACAAAAGGGGAAGGGTCACTGAGGTGTTGTCCAATCAGAGCGAAGCTAGGAGGAGTTCATAACGTCAGTGTGGATGTTCGACATCGGGGTTAAAAAACAGATTCAAATTGATACGAAACTCAGAGAAGCAGAAGAACAAAACGACAGCCAACCTCTCTCTCTCTCTCTCTCGCCCTAACTGATCACCTGCAGACTCCCAACACGTACGCGACAGGTAGAGAACGAGCAGAGACAGAAATACAGTGTATATCTGAAATCTACCCCGATGTCTGACTCCAGAGACGACACTGACTCCTCTCAGCTTCTCCTCTAAACCACAAAGCAGGACATTTGGCGTGGAGCTCTCTGAGGGTGACGTTCTGGCGTGTAGCTCTCTGAGGGTGACGCTCTGGCGTGTAGCTCTCCGAGGGTGACGCTCTGGCGTGTAGCTCTCCGAGGATGACATTTTGGCACTTTATCGACTCCTCTTGCACTTACAATGACTCTAATGTTTGAAATGCTGCATCATGTTATAAAATATAAAACATACCGTGACTGAAATAATCTCCTTTTTGCTCTTAGGAATGATTCGTTCTGCTAAGGATGTTCCGTGTACACTCACTAACCTTCTGTCCTGTTAGCCTGACCTGCTTTAAATAATGTTCGAATGGCTGCTGTACGCTAACGCCGGCTAACTCTTGAGGCTATGACACACGGACAACTTTTAGCTAACAAAAAGCATGAATAAAATAACTTATTACAGTGTTCAAGTTGAGTCGACGGAACCCTGAGTCACAGTGGAGCCTTGAGTCCTGAATGTTGAATGTTTCATTTTGAGTCACATGGTTTATCTCAATGACGACAGTCAGCTGTGTCCAAGTGTCTTCTATTGCGTCGTTAGTCATGTCCTGGTCATTTAGATCATTTCAACGTCTCTTCAGTCATCTCAAAGTAATTTCAGGTCCGTCCGAGTATCTTCAGGTGTGTCCTGGTGCTACCTTACCGAACTGACCCGCTGAACTGGACCCCCTGGTGGAAACGGGGTCAAGTCTCTTTAGTCATGTCCTGGTTGTTGCATCAAAACATTTCAGTTTCAGATGGTCGACGGTGGGACGAGATAAATTCATCTTAGTTTGCTGGATAAGAGAAGTTTAGGAATCTAATATAAAATAGCGACACTTGGAGGATCGTAACACATCTGACTGACAGAAATAAGTGGATATATTTTTATGTCTGATGGTCAATAAGAACGTGTTCGTCAGCGTTTGGTGACCTGGGATGGAGAGAATCTGTAGCTAGCAGCAGACACTCTGTCTTTGTGTTACCTAACTCGTACTCTGATTATTCCTCTTGATCATTTCGTTACTGCAGTTGTCCGTCTCTGCTCCTGTTACCGGTGGAATTGCCAGTCTTTGTTTCGTCTGTTTCAGCTCTTCTTCTCTGACTTCTCTCGCTGTAACTTGCACTGCAAATGGCTTCTCAATAAATGACGCAGATCGAAATGCACTTTGTCATCTGAGCGGGATTCACGGAACATTCATGACGTCTGACAAACGTCCATTTTAAACCCTCATATTTGCCTGCGATGTAGACCATCTGTTTCTGAGAGCACAAACAAGAACAGGCAGAAATGTTAGCATGTAGCTTTTAGCCTCGCCGCCGCCACTAATATATCAAAACAAACCGCTTCTGTTGCTTTGAGTTGCTGAAACTTGAATAAGAGAATAAAAGAGACACTTTTTGTTTCCATGAATCAACTGAATGCTGAACAGATTCTAATGATTTAAAGTTATTCTCCACATGTTTCTGTTATAGCAGCCTCACGTATGTTAGCATATGTTAGCAATGCTAGTGCAAGTCAATGGGAATTCAGCTGTAGCAAAACACAAGTGACTATTTGTTAAAAAAAAAAGGATATCAAGCTTTGTTACCATCTTTCTTTTGTTGTGTTTACATTAATACTTACAATGTATTTCTGATTGGCCTGTCTTTTTGAAAAAAACTTTGTAGAGTGAAATGTTTAGAGTTTTAATGGTATTTTTATACACGCATTCTTACCAGACGCGACAAGTTTTGGTTAATAAAGTTTTAATAGTTTGACTTTTTTTTCTTCTAATAATTCAGTAAATGTTTTTTAACCAAGCAGCAGCCTCTTGTTGAAATGAAGCCGATGCTGAAGTGTAAAATCCTGCAGTTCCTAGAGTGTCCACTAGAGGCCGGCTGCAGAAGCACAGGAAGTCACATACATACCCATTCAAAAAAGCCTGTTTTTACAGCAGAGATTAACATGTTTACAGGCTGGTTCAAAAAAACAAATAGGTCTGATTAGCTCATGTCACGATCGACACACACTGTACGGGGGGTGAATGTTTTGATGACTCATCAATTTTGATTTGATTAAGGATGTAGCTGTGAAGAAACTAATTTTTTTGTGGTTTTGGGTTGTATTCATTACAAACTTTCGTACTTTTATACACAATCAATCATTTAGAAATATAGATATTGTATCTTTTCAAAATAATTTCTCATGAAAAGTATTGAAGTCGTGTCATAAAAAGTACAATCTCACTCATTAGTTTTACTGTTAAACCTGCTCTTCTCTGACTTCAGTAGAGCCTCCTCTCTCTCTCTCTCTCTCTCTTCTTTCAGCTGTTTTTACCACATTTCATAAAACTCATACCTGACGGTGATCGTCATTAATGTTTTCTACAAATGGTTTCTACCCTAAATCTTAGCAAGTGTATTTGTTAAACTTTCCAGACCACTAGCTACAACCTCAGACCAAATACTACAACCTCAGACCACATACTACAACCTCAGACCACATACTGCAACCTCAGACCAAATACTACAACCTCAGACCACATACTGCAACCTCAGACCACATACTATAACCTCAGACCACATACTGCAACCTCAGACCAAATACTACAACCTCAGATCAAATACTACAACCTCAGACCAAATACTGCAACCTCAGACCACATACTGCAACCTCAGACCAAATACTACAACCTCAGATCAAATACTACAACCTCAGATCAAATACTACAACCTCAGACCAAATACTACAACCTCAGATCAAATACTACAACCTCAGACCAAATACTACAACCTCAGACCACATACTGCAACCTCAGACCAAATACTACAACCTCAGATCAAATACTACAACCTCAGACCAAATACTACAACCTCAGATCAAATACTAAAACCTCAGACCAAATACTACAACCTCAAACCAAATACTACAGTCCAGACCACATACTACAACCTCAAACCACATACTACAGCCTCAGACCACATACTGCAGCCTCAGACCACATACTACAACCTCAAACCACATACTGCAGCCTCAGACCACATACTACAACCTCAAACCACATACTACAGCCTCAGACCACATACTACAACCTCAAACCACATACTACAGCACCAGAGGCTTCATCCGGAGACCCGTCCGGCCAGAGAGCATCTCCATCCACAGCAGCAGCTTCTTTCCAGCTGCTGTAACACAGGACGTTAAGGTGGGAAGGAAATACCACAACACACACCTCACCTCACGTGCAATAATGTTAGTGCTCTCCTTTCCTTTGTATTACTTTTCCACCTTTACTGTTTTTGTAGAGCTGACTCTAGGAGAAATGCAAAATAGTCCCAGTGTACCTGAACTATCCTGTACCTCTGAAAAAGGATATAAACATCTAATCCGACCCCAATCATTGGATTGTAAATATCAAATATAGTATCATAAATATAGTATAGCAAATTGTATATAGATAGGTTGTATATATAGAGAGCTTATAAGGAACACAGGAATTTAATTTAATAAATATTAATTATTGAGCTGTGGAAAAGGGGTAGGATTAAATAAGTTGTATACTTCTTCCTACTCCTTTTCAGGCATATCAATTAAATATATGTAATTTTTCTTTTTTTGTGAAATAATTTGAACATTATTTTTTGTTTATTGTATTTTCGTGCTTTTCGTTTTGTTTTGTATTTTTGATATGTTTGACTTTATTTGATATGTCTGAAATAAATTTAATCAATCAATCAATCAACTTTATTTGTCACCGGGGGGGCAATTCAAAGGCACACAGAGCAATAAATTAACAACAGTGCAAGTACGAAACAGTTTAACCTAAATATAAAGTGTCAATTTAATGATAGATGTGAGATGTTTATCTGGACTCTGATGAATATGGATACATTAAGTGAAATGTGATCATCATTTGAAAATAAATTAGACAAATACACTCGATAAGAAAATAGTTTTTGCAGAGTTTTCAACATATTTCACATATGTTCAGGCACAAAAAGAGACCACTAAACCCCCTTTGCTCCAGCTTTGCAGCAGGGGTCCTTCGCGCTAACGCTAATGTTTGTTAGCTTAGTCGCAGCTAGCAGCTACGTGCGCAGTCAGTCGTCGGAACAAACATGGTGTTGTTGGTTTCTCTCTGTTGAGAATGAGCCCGAAAGAAGTCAGGTTTGTTCAAATGATTATGTTTTAACCAAAAACAAAGACGTGAGATCTTAAAAAACACGTCGTCCTGAGTCAGTCTGATGGCTAGCAGCGTGTTTACGCAGGTGTGCAGTTCACCTTTTGTTTCTCGAGCTAACGTGGCTAACTAGCCTCCGATACGGACTCTAGTGTCGTATCAAAATGTTAAACCCGAAATCAGCCAACAGCTTGTAGTCTCTCAAGCATTGTTATAAAACTGTCCAGCCGCGATAAGATGGTAAAAAAAAAAAAAAACGTCCCACCAACGAGCGGGACGATTCCTCTTTAAAAAAAGATCTACTTTTAGAATCGGCTCCTGATGTTCGCTAACGTTACCGCCCACTGCTGAAGGATTATAAGGATGAGACAGCGATTGTAAAACATTATGAATAATGATTTTTATGCATGCCGAATTAATAACCAGCCTCCACTGTGTCTGTTACCAACATGTCAGACTCTTTGTTATGAATTCACTAACATTTCTAAGCCAGTTTACACTAAAATGACAGATTTTTAAATGGGGTTTGGTTGATCGCTTCTGTCATTAAAGAAGTGAGTTACTCTGCTCGTTCCTGATCAACCAGCATTAAAAAAAATGCTCTGTCACCATAACGTCAGGTTCCCTCACTGCGGGTTAGGACTACTCTGTGTGATTTTATATATTATCTAGTGGTTCTAACTCTGTGTACAACTTTGAACCAAACCCAGTCTGCGTATTTCCGCAGCATGTTTGTGTTGTGTTGGCTAACATACAGCTAATGCTCGCAGCTGTGTTACTCAGCTTTTGTGCTTCTGCCAGCTCCCTACAGCTGCTGTCACTTCACATTTAGCCTCCTGGTTAATTTGAGTTGTTATATAAGTAAGTTCTAATGAGTCTCTTGGTGTATATTCAGTATAGAAAGGTGCTTCTTAGTGTGCAGCTACTGAGTTTGAGGCCCTCACAAGGAAGTCACGTGTAAATAGTTTGCCAATTATTGACTTTAGAAGTCATTAACATGGGCTGATACACCGATTAGTCACCATCGCTTCATTGTTTGGATGATTTGCAGGCTGCTCCTATTTATATTTCAAATATCTTTACTGAGGTTTCATCATATAAATACAAAGAAAAGAAGAATAATAAAACATACAAAACACCAGGGTTGGGCAGTAATATTCCACATTGCCACAAATGGTATAGAAATGTGCAGAACAAGTGAGACAAATGAGTCTCTGTGGCAGTGACAGTAATACCTGATAAAGTGCAATAGCTCTTCCCACCCTCCCATCCCCAGCTGTCCTGAAAAAATTAAGGCCTAACATCTAAGAGTTAATTTGCGGCGCACCACACAGAGTCAGATCTTACTTTTTATGTCAAGGGCCGGATCAAAGCTAGCTGCTCCTGTTTATAGTTATGTATAGTTGTTTATATTCATTTGTCTGCATTAACTAGTTATCTTGTTTAATCTGTTTTTAATTAATTGAATGCTGTTTTATCCCTTTTAAGGGTCAAATCTACTTGCTTCTGAACCAGGCGTACGCGTAGACAACCTGCTGTGTCGTGAACCTAAATGTTCACACGAGCCGTTTTCACATCTGCTCTCCTGAAAACTGCTCCAGATACTCTCCTAATCTGGTTGTTCACACTTGTTCCTCACAGCAGGAGACTATCTCTGCCGGACAGAAAGGGGGTGGGGGTCTAGGACGAAGCAACAGAGTCCTCTATACGGCACTATAATGAGAATATGTGTCTTTCTATCAATGCTACGTGTAGTTGAAGAGAATCTCAATCTGAACTAAAGAGTGGAGAAGAACATCCTGGAGAACAGGAAACATAATGCAGCAGGTTCATTAGAACACGGAGATGGTAGAGGTGGCGTGCAGACAGTCTATGGTCGTGCAATGATCACAGGGGATAAACGTCACCCCCCCCCCACCACTCACTCCAGGTGAATTCTCCTGATTATATCCTGCTGCGTTCTCACATCAGCTCACTCTGACTTTCTGCAGAATAAATACGAGGAGGCTGGAGGAGAAACTCCGGGTGAAGAGAGAAACATTCAGCTGTTTGTGTTCACACATGATGCTCAGCATCAACACTTTCACTCTGAGTGAAAGTCTGCAACAAAAAAAAACGTGCGTCAAAATATATTTTTTAAAAACTGAATTTACTTCCTGTCTGTGCCGTGAATGATCCACAGATCTCATTTAGCCCGAGTCCTGGAGGTCTGGTCCAAACAGAGCATCCGGAGCCGTTGTTGGATGTCACATAGAGATGCGGGAGGATTTGAACTACTTAGCTTCTTCTACAGCGGTAGTTAAAGCGGTCGCCTTAACTGTAACTTTAACTGTAAACTGTAAGGTTATTGATAAATAAGTAGAATTTTTGTGCCTTGTTTGACCAGATGTTCTTCTCTCTGCTGTTTCCAGGGATGACCTGACGACATCTTGCTACTTTGACCTCCTCCATCACCCCAGCTCTGTCGGGTAAAAACTCACCTCCACCTCACATCTGCAAACGCCTGGATCGACTCGCTCTCTGCTGGATCCCCTTCCTCCACACCCCTCCTACAGCCCTGTTTTGATCTGTCCTGTCCCCCCATTCACAAATCAGAGACCATGTATTGCCTCCAGTGGCTCCTCCCCGTGCTGCTCATCCCCAAACCGCTGAACCCGGCACTGTGGTTCAACCACTCCATGTTCATGGGCTTCTACCTGCTCAGCTTCCTGCTGGAGAGAAAGCCCTGCACCATCTGTGCCTTGGTCTTCCTCGCCGCCCTCTTCCTCATCTGCTACAGCTGCTGGGGCAACTGCTTCCTGTACCACTGCCAGGACGCTGCGCTGCCGGACGCTGCACAGGACCCGTCCATCGTCGGGACCTAGTACAGAGGAGGGGTGGGGGGGAGACATCTCAGAAAAGGAGTGAGTGAGGGAGAGTGGAGGGTGATACTGCCATGCTGGATGAGCGGAAAATACTGAAACTGTTCGGCCAAGAGTGGAACGGAAGAGGAGGAGAACGCCACTGTGGAGGACTCGCTGTAAAGGAAGAGACTCAAGTTTAAGATGAGAGGAGGCGGAGGGAACGTTTGAGGAGACATTTAGAGGAGAGGAAGGAGGAGCATCCAAATGTCGTAGGAAGGACGTTTGAGAACATTTTGTTTCTAGCATACGCATAAACCTGGTCGATTAACACACACAAACACACACACCACAGGTGACGCACACACAGAGTGACGGCTGTGTTTCAGTATTCTCGTTCCTCTAACCCTCGGACTCGTTTACCTCCAACTGCTCCGTAAAACACGACAGGTCATATTTTCAACCTCAAACTTCCATATTCTCACACACAAACAAGGACGCTCCTCACAACCACACACACTCACTGCTGCAGTTTGTTCACACGCTTTACACGCCATGAAGTGTTACAGGATAGTTTGCATCTTGTCGTTTTTTCCCCAAAGTTCGAGGGAGTCACCTGACCAATCTCTGCCGCCATTTTGGCTCTGCACACGCCGTATCGCCCTGACCCAGGGTAGCGCACACACACACACACACACACCCACACCGGACAAGCGATAACTATGCTGTGACTAACTCCTCGTGTGAAGGTGAAGAAATGCTGAGACTGTCCCGTCTTCTTCACCCTCACCGCGCTCGCCTCCTCCTCCTCCTCCTCCTCCTCTGAGTGAACGCCCCGACCGCCACATTCAACGTTTACTTTCTTCTTTGCTGTTTTCTCTTTTCGTTCGTTTGTGTTTCTCGTGCATGGGTTGCTGTTTATTTTTTCGAGGTTCACAGAAATTTTTAACGATTAAAAATTGCTGAATGTGTGTGTGTGTGTGTGTCTGTTGTGATAACGACACGCTGATAGAAAACGTGGAGACGCACGAGGCGATCGCACCGTCGGTGTTCTCAGCGACATAAAGCAATATGGAGCTCTGCTGGTCGAGAAATCAAACAGTCACAATCAGACGAGAGACGCCGCCGCTCCGTTTCCTCGTGCGTCTCTGCTCCACGTGTTCAGCTGTCAGACAGACGGAGGTGTTTATACCGTTAGTGTGTGCGGGCGTGTGGACTCCTGTCGCAGTGCTGAACACGGTAACTGCTGCATTATTGCTTTGGTTTTAATTTAAATAAAGTTTTTTCCTCTCAAAGTGTTCGACTGTGTTTAAAACTGATTCTTGGTTTAAAGAAAGAAGTTCACCTTTCACTTCCTGTTTATGTTAAGTTTAGAAACCTGAAACATGTAGATCTTTCATACCTGAAGAAAACTCCTGATGTTAACAAGGGGGGAGTCCGCTAGGAGGACTACAGGCTCCGTATGTGGGGCATGCACACCAACCACTAGTCTCCCGGAGATTTAATTAATCACATTTTAAAACACATTTAAATCCCATTATTTCAAACTTTAAAAATAAATCTTATGCTTTTACTTTGAAGGTCTGTAATTTCTTAAGCTGAGAGTACTTTACTTCCTGTGTGCTTTTATTTTGAAACAAGGTAAGGTCCTTCCTGTAGAGTGAAGGGTAGGATCTTAGGACAGGAAGTTGAGCACAGTAACCGGAAGTGGTTAGTGATCCCAAAGTGAGGTCAAACAGCTCAAAGGAACGGTAACATAGGTCAATGTGTGATGTCATAAGGTCAATGTGTGATGTCGTAAGGTGGATATTACTTTGGACTTGTCAGCCAAGCTGTCTGAGAGTTTGTTAAAGTGAAATGAGACATTCAGAGATGCAGCAGTGTCCTTGGCTGCATCCAAATTGCCAAGTGCCTACTCAATCTTTCAGTAGTAGTAGTACCTACTATTCAGTATGCACACACAGTAGGCAGATATTTGTTCCTACTTCATCTGATTCATTCAGTATGGAAGTGGCCTCATCCACCTGTTTTTTGTTTTTTTGTTTAGCTTTATTCAAGTGGAGTAATGCGCATACAGTAAGGTAAAAAACAAAAACAATAGATTAAATAACTATATAACATACAGTACATAAAGGAAAGTAAGTATAATGCTATTGGCGCCGGGGACCCGAGCGGCGTCAGAGCAGAGACGAGTCAGCTGTAGGAGCCAAGTGTTCGTGCAGCCGGACTCTCCGTGTCTGCTTACGACCTGCTGCTGCTCAGTTAAAGTGACGGGGTTAGCCCGGCCCTGGAACAGACCAGTAAGTCTCCCCCCCTGACGCCCTGACCACAGTCGGAACGCCAAAGCAGGAAAGGTTAACAGCAGCGTAATGACGTAGAGGGTAGAGAACAGAAAAATGAGCCATAGTGAATCAAGTCTTTTTAATTCTCACTTTTTCTTTCAGAACTAAATGCAATAAACGTCTTATTTTATACATTTCTATGAGTAATATACATCCAGTTATGTCGATTTCAAACATTAGACGAGCAGAGGAAACTCCATCATGCACTCAGCTTTAAAGTGTTTCTGATATGTTAACGTCCTTCATCCTCCTCTTGACTTTCTCCAACATGTCCCTCATCTTTACTTTCCTCCTTTCTCGTGTCTTCTTCTGCAATATTTAAATGTCACATATTCTCCTGTTCTTCAACCAGTTTAAATAAGTCTCAGAGCTCCTCAAAACATGTGTGTGAAGTTTCTTGTTCTCGATCCACTCTGATCCTGTATTTCATCATGTCTATAAACCCCTCTATTTCAGCCCTGCTCAGAACAGGCTGTTTCTGTGTCTGTACCTTTAAATATGTAAATGAGCTGTGTCTGACCACGCCCCCTCTCTGGAAGGGCTCGGGTGTACTCGGGCTTTTTCGCCCGTTTATGGTGAGAAGGCAGACTCAGAGGGCAGAACAAACACCTAGCTGTGGGAGTGTCACCCACCTGGGGGAGGGGCTACTGCCCTTTGTGATGTCATGAAGGGAAAATCTCCAAACGACCTGTTTGAGCACACATTTTCTGAAAAGTAGAGCAGGTAAAAGACGGAGAGGATGGACTTTTCTCGTCATTGGGGGGTTTGTAGACAGACTAGAGACACATATTAGAGTCAGAGGAACATGGGGAAGAGGATTTTAAATATGTGACCTTTAAATTATGAAGAGTGTCTCTCATCTCTTCGTTTTTACGCAGACTTCTGTGAAGACCCTCTGGATTAATTTTAATAATGTTTTAGTCGAGATCCTCTCAGTGACGTCCTGCCTCGACCATTCTCCTGCTTTCTGATCAATTTGCACGCTGATTGATTGAAGACTGAAGGCTGAGTATCTGACCACACACGTCAGTCTATATAGTGAGAGAGTAATGATATGATTGGATAACTTCCTGGTTCATCTCTCAAAAATCAAAAACCTTCCTTAACGTGCTGCTCACTTTCCTTATGTTGAACTTTCCCGTGCTCGCTCGCTGAGGATTAAAGAAAAAAGCTCAAATTTAACGTCCTCTGCTCGATCTTCCCACGCCGTTTAAAAAAAACCTCAAAAACATTCCTTAAATACTCAGTCACAGAGGTCAGAGGTCAGTTTGACCACAGCGGAGTCAGGGAAAGCATCCTCAGGTCAGGAACCTTCACAAGCTGCAGTTCACTCAGACAGCCAGCAGGGGCAGCACATGCACAAGTCTCAGTGATGAAACTAAGGTGGGTTTCAGGGGACCTTAAATCTTTGCAGGTAAAATAACTCAAATGTTTTCTCGTCTGATGTTCCTTTAATATCATCAGTTATCTTTGTTATTGTCATTTGCATCCTATAATTAAATACTTTGGTCTGATGATCTAAACGCTGAGATCAAATCGTGCAGGAAGAGAGAGATCCAGAGAGAGTAAGAGTCTCCATCTTTATCTCTATATCTTCTCTCATGTCTTTGGCTTCTGTTCTTGAAATACAAAGTTCTTCCTCTTCTTCTTCTTCTTCTTCTTCTTCATCCGTCTGAGACACAAACTGTGTTCATGGTGAGTCTCTGGTCCGGACTCTGAGGATCCTGTCGCTCTGGTTCTGCCAGTTCAAAAGTCCACACTGCGTCTCGTCCTAGAGGAACGTGATCTCAGTCTCCTGGTTCTGATACGCCTCCTCCTCCAGCTCACAGGACAGCTGGTCCATCCTGTGGAAGGCCAGGTAACCCTTCTTACCTGCGCACACACACACACACACACACACACACACACACACACACACACACACACACACAGGTAGATAAAGGGTTAATAAAAGTATGAAAACATGTGAATACATAAAAACTATAATGATCTTTGTACCGAAGGAGAGGACGGTCTCTTTGGCAGCGCTGCGAAGATCTTCATCCTCTGATCGCCACAGATCTGCGATGTGGTCCACGCTCTCTGAGGCCTGACACACACACACACACACACACAATCACACACACACACACACACACACACACAACCACACACACACACACACACACACACACACACCACACACACAACCACACACACACACACACACACACACACACACAACCACACACACACACACACACACACACACACAACACACACACACACACACACACACACACAACCACACACACACACACACACACACACACACACACACACACACACACACACACACACACAACCACACACACACACACACACACCACAACCACACACACACACACACACACACACACACACACACACAAACAACCACACACAACCACACAACACACACACACACACACACACACAAACAACCACACACAACCACACACACACACACACACACACAAACACACAACCACACACATGTTCAGAGGTTGATAACGTCAACGATTAAAAGAATGGAAGAATTGAAGACTCTGACAAACTAAGAGTGTGTGTGTGTGTGTGTGTGTGTGTGTGTGTGTGTGTGTGTGTGTGTGTGTGTGTGTGTGTGTGTTCTCACCCTGAGGCATTTCAGAGCCAGACAGGATCCGTGTTGGATCTGAACGTCGGAGCTCTTCAGACTCTCTGTGTAAAAAATGACAGCCTGCAGGAGAAACATGACGACAGACGTGACTCATGCTGCGACTTTTTCTGTATGTTTACAAATAAACAGAGACAAGCTGCTAAGGTTAAAGGTCAGGGACTAAATAAGCTGAGGGGACACCTAGCAGATAACTTGCAGCTCCCACCTGCCACTCAAAGAGGCCACACCCCCTAATTCTAAATCACTTTTAGACTCTAGTGGACACTGGAGGAACTGCAGTTGTAAAGTTGGACATTTCAACATGGGGCTCTATGGGGACTGACTCACAGCAGGAGACAGACTCTAGTGGTCACTGAGAGTAATAACAGTTTGTCACAGACTTGTTACCTTGCTCCTGAAGGTCTTGCAGCCTGCAGCTCTGCACAGACACCCAGCAGCAGCTTTACACACTTTGTGGTTGGAGCCGATCTGCAGGGCGGCTATAGTCTGCAGCGTGCATCCAAGAGGGAGGAGCTCTGAGATACCCCGCCCCTTTATTTTATTTAAAGCCCGTCTCCGTTTGGGGCCCCTCAGGGCAGACAGGAAGTACTCTGAAACACAAAAGGGATCATATAATTCAGAGTACATTTAATTTAACCACAAAGACAGTTTGATATCTGTTCTGGATTAACTAACTTTTCTTTTCAATTTGCAGATGGAGGAGATATTTTATCTCTTCAGCCAATATTCATGTTTGAGACGGATTTAAGCAAAGACTTGAAGCATAAATGAACTCGTATCGTTTTGAACCTTTCTGGTTCTTATTGTCTTCATTAATCATTAACCTCCATCCGCCTGCTGATTAGAGTCAGTTGGACTTTGTTTCACACAGATGGATATGTAAATATTGTTTTGTTTATTGTGTCATGCAAACCAACAGCAGACATCAACAGAAAGCCACATGAAAAGGAGAGGAGACAAGAGAAGGAAGGAAAGAAAGAAGGAGGGAAGGATATGTTTATGTTGTTTGTTTACATCCGATTAAAGATGAATCATGCGCTCGTTAAAACTTTATTGATCCTTTAAGGAGCTCACACACGCGCGCACACACACACACACACACACACACACACACACACACACACACACACACACACACACACACACACACACAAAGACACTCTGTTTGGCAGTAAAGGTGACAGATGGTAGAGATGCCTTCAAGCTGGAATTTCTGGAACGTTCCCAGACTGTTCCTCGAATACACACACACACTCACGTTTACTCAGGTCAGTTTTTGGG